ATCGCATTAACTATCAGATTGTGGGGAATTTTTGAGAGTGTGAGAACTATAACATAAATTAAATAATTATCTTTTTCTTTTATTTTATATACAATTGTAATGACAACATTAGAAGAAGAAGCAACAGGTGGGTCTTCTTTTGATTTTTTAAGTTCATACACAAATTTTGCAACAACTTTTGTAAAGGCGAATATGAAAAGTCTGGTCACTTCATCACTGGTCTGGTCATTGAGTAAAATAAACCCGTATAAAAAGCGAAGAGCAGATAAATATATTGCTGGTTTCAGATTATCAGCAGATGTCCACGAAGGGTTAAGCAGTCTTCTATCAACTTATTCAGATGTTGTAAATGATTTACTTATGAGCCCGATATTTCTAAATCTGAAACTTGAAAATAAAGCAATGGTAGGTGCTTTACGGGGTGTAGTCGCACGAATGGCAAATGAGCTTTTGTTTAGTAAAGATCCTGATTATTCACTTGTTGTGGTGTATTTTGTGGCACATTATGCTGGTGATATGATTAGCGAACAAATAGCAAAAAAACTTGAAGAGGGAGCGATGGCACCCGAAGTTCCACCCGTTGAGTGATAATTAATTAATTATTTTTATATTATTTTTTATATATATCCTCGTTCGGATATTGAGAAACCAAAATCAATATGTCTAAATCTGCTGTTCAGAAAAGTTTGAATATGCCCGAAAATGTTGATGCAACCCTTAATAAATTTCGTCATCTTCCGCAGAAATCAAAAAGCGGTCTAGTCTTCAATCTGGCAAAGTCTAATATTTCGGCAAATAGTCAGTGGAATAAGGGAGAATTTAGGGTGTATGAAAAGACATCGGGAACTCCCGATTTTTCCAATACTGCTGTATGGGAAATTGAGGAAAGTTATATGCTTTTGAATGCTTATTTTGAGATAAAACTGTCGCAACTCTCACAGACAGGAGGCACTGCTAATGGATTGTATTACAATAAAGTACCTCTTTTTATTGACCAAGTCACAATTTTTAGTGGCAATGGAACTCATATGTTAAAGGTTTTTCATGGGGAAGATTTATACTGGGCGATCGCTTTATCACATGCTTCGGAAGCATTGGATACAATTAATACATTCGCTGGAATGGGGACAGCAGTGGAGAGAGCAGACGATAACACGAACAGTAGACTGACATATTACCTTCCACTTCGTAGCGTCTTCTTTAACACTGACCTTCCCCTTATGTTCCTAAAAGGAAAATTGCGTATTGTTGTTAAGTTCCGAAGCCTTGATGATAGTTTTGTTTATGACGGGACGTCTCCAACTGGCGGAGGTATTGAATCCTGCCGTCTCTGGTGTTTTTTCCAAGACTTTAACAAGTCAATTAAGTCCGCAATCCTTGCCAATCGCAATATCAAGCATTACCGTATTCTGCTTCCAGAGCGAGCCCAGATGCACATTCCTATTGGAACCACTGATTGGCTGGATAAATACATTAACTTTACTTCATGTTCTGCATTTATTCTATTTTACATTACTAAACCTTCACCTACTGGTGATGATATAATTGATAATAATGTAGCAATTAAAAGTTTTGTTCTAAAAGATAGTTCAGGTAATATCATATCATATGCCAGTGAAGTCAACAGTGCATTTAAGAGAAGTGTCATGGCATATGAATACTTTGATAAATACCTACGAAATAGCTCGTTTCTTGAAAATCCGAATACTTATTTCTTTTCTTTCTCAACTCGGGCACCAATAGCACTTTTGTCAGGATCTAGCTTTGGCTACAAAAAATTGACTGGGAATGAGAGAATATCGGTATCGTTTGACTCTCCAACAGCAGAAGATTACACAATTCATATTGTAAATTATAGTTACCAACTACTTCAATGCGTCCCTTCGTCAGGTCAATTAACTATTTTGCAGTGAATATTAAACTGAATACAATTAATTATTTTTTTTATAAAAATATATATACAACTTAATTAAGTAGAGATGGCAGCAGCACTACCAGCAGCAACTCAAATTAATCCTCAGGGTCTTGTCAATGCAGTAAGTCAATTACGTCCAGTAGTGCGTCAGGGTCAGACAGCAAGAGCAACCAGAGACAGCACAATTGAACCTCATGGAATTCAAGATAGTGAGTTGTATAATATTATGCAAGGATTGGGTCATGCAAATGCTGATTATCACGCTCAACCCATTGTTAATGACAGTGGGAATATTGACAAACAAATTATTCGGTTGACCAATTATATTCGTTCTGTTACTCAACCACAAGGTTATTTAACTAATAAACTCAATGAACTTATCCGTATTCGGTCATACATTAAAAGTGTCAAAATATACTACATTACTAAATTTATGAGACTTGGATATACTGAAAGTGAAGCTGTATCTATGGCACAGGCTGTTATTAACCCTATCGCCTCTGCTGAACTTAAAATGTATAACGAACTACTGCCTGATAAATTAAGTCAATTAGCCATGCAGACACAGAGACAAACTTATAATGACCCGAACTTGCGTCTTGGTCAAGCTCTGATAAACCAGCGACAGTAGGCAAAAAAAAAATAAAGAGATAAATATATAGAATATGAGTGCTTTTACTGAGGATACACTTTTTCAAACCATTTATAACATGACTAATAATTCAACACAATTAAAAGAACTACACGATTTGTACTGGGGAATGAATGATGAAGAGCGAGAAAATTATGATGCTGGCCTAGATTATCTTAAATCACAGGCTGAAAATTTATTACCAAAAACAAAAGCACCTTTATTTAGTCTACACAAAGTTACTGACATACCACCTGAACTAGAAGAAGGACAAATGCTATTTACTTTCCCTCCCATTGACAAGAAAAAAGGATTTACTTGGGATAAAGATACCTTCTATAATTTTAAAGATAATCGTGCTTTGCTTGTTAATGTGAATGAACTTAATAAAGAAAACAAACTTGATGCTTTCATGAATATACTTAAAAGAAATGATATACTTAAAGGTGCATTAAATAGTAGAGATAATGGCTTTAATGTTTATTCATCAGATTTAAATAATCCAACCATTAAATCATTTTTTGAAAAATTCTTGGGTAAGAATGCTAATGTTGATTTATCTGTTCAAGAGGTTCTTAAAGTTGCGGATACTGATGAAATACAAGATCAATTAATTAATCATCGCTATATTCCACCTCCACAGCAACCACCACCACCTCCTCCTCCACCTCAACTTCCTCCCGCTGATGGAGGTTTGCCTGAACCATTAGAAGAACCGCCTTTTGAACCGCAACCTGAACCAATTGAACCGCCACCTCCTGCATTACCCGAACCAGCACCCGAACCACCAACTAATTTTCCACCCAATTATGAACCAGAACCTGAAACAGGACCAAGACAAATACCACCTCCTGCACCAGAGCCACCGCTTAATATTCCACCTGAATGGAACCCTCCTGCACCAGCCTATCAGCCACCAACGACACACAGAACGACAAGAGGGCCAAGAATAGGAGATAACATACAACCGCTACTACAAGTCCCACGTTAATTTATTCTATAATCCCAAACGATTTATAATCACAGTAATTCTCCTTTATTTCTGTGTTTGGACTACGTGCATTTACTGAAACAAAACAATAATTATTTGTTGCATTATCAAAATACTTATAAAATTCTGATTTTTTTTTGCCATCATTGAATATCTCTTCGTGAAGAATTGCCAGACTACCATGGCCACATTGGCGTTATAAAAATGCAAAATCATAAATGCTTCTTATTAATGTTGATACTCTTTTTACAGACTGACTTATCTGAACAATACTGACATTCATATGTCTAACAATAGTAAGTAATCTCTCAAATTCTTTACTTCTCGTGTCGTCCATCGTAGCAATACTATCGTCAAGTATTAAAAGCACTCGTCTTCGCTTCTTTGTCTTCTCTTGATGTTCCGCTAACGCCTTGATTTGCTCTTCTGTTACTTTGGTCAAAACCTTATGACGCTTCACGCCATTCTTTAACCACAATTCAGGTTGCACCGTCACTATAAGCTCATCATCAAACTTATTCCTATCCCGCAGATACCGATATAATGATAGTGCAATCAGGGTCTTTCCCGTATTAATTCTTCCCGTAATTAACAGTATCCAGCACTTCTTCTCGTTAGCGATCTTATTGAATAGCTCTCGGCAGTTCCGTATTTTTTCGTGCATCTCATTTATTAATTTATATATAATTATTAATTTATATATAATTATTTTCATTTCATTTTTGTATTGACTGCACGCTCTATCCGCCGAGCCACCTGCTCCGCATCTTTTATTTTCGCATTTTTCAGACGCTTTAAATAAAACTGGTAAAGTATTTTTCCATCATTACTATTATCATTATTTGTATTTTTATTTTTTTTCAATTGTTGAATCAAATTATTAAACATCTATATTGGTATGACTTTTTAATTCATAGAATATTGAAAGTAGAATATATACGATTTGTCATACTCCATCTTTTTCTTTCCCTCTCCCCTCCTCCTTGCCCTTCCATTTTTCCACCCATTCCACCATTCATTCCATTTTCTTCAAGCCCCGTCCAGTTTTCCACTGTCCGTTAATAAGTTTGCCCTATCCCTCCACATTCCATTGTCCTTCAAGCCCCGTCCCCTTTTCCACTGTCCGTTAACAGGCTTGCCCTATCTCTCCACATCCCTGCGTTACACGGCCGTTAGCACTAAACCCCGTCCAGTCTCTCTTTTAGAGACTGTCCGTTAGCAGTTTAACCGTCCTGTGTAAATTTCCGTGTATCCATCCCCGACAGGGGTTGAACTCACGACATGTGGATTCCAATAAGGCACCCGACCACCTGAGGTATAGTGGCCATGGTAAATGCGGGGGTTCGCTAGATCTGGACAAGCAAGCAAGGCATCATTTAATCGCCGTGACGGATATCTTCTGCTTTTGCGTATCTATTCTCGTTTGTGGTTCCGCCACGCCCTCTCTCTTGCTCAACGGTTCCCGCCTTTGTTGTTCTTTCCACCCGCCTTCCCGTTTCCTTCCCTTGTTTGACGTCACAATGACCTGGACGAAAGACACCCCCCTCCCCTTCTTTGTCCTAGTTATGGGTTTGCACGCCGTCATCATACACCCCCTCTACCACAGCGAAGCCATTGACCGCAATGCCAGCCCCTTCCCGCACTCCCGCTGGCAGGAAGAGGTGGAGGAGATTATTGAGGGGTGTGTGAAGGAGGTGCCCCGCAAACAGCCACCAGAAGGGAGTGAGAACACCAACAGCAACAGCAACAAGAAGAGAAGACCTACTGGCATCAAAACAGCCAAGGGCTTGGCCTGCTCCATCCCTGGATGCCAGGAGAAGACAGCAAGCCCTCGCTGTAAGGTGTGCGTGAGCTGTCACACACGGGTGTGCAAATACCACGGGAGTGCCGACAACTACAAGCACTACAAGTATAATGACGTGGTCCACTTGGTGTTCAAAGTGGCGACACAGGCACAGGCAATGACGGAGCACAACTTCATCTGCCTCAATTGCACCAGAATCAAACTCATCCAGGTGTGTATGTATTAGACAGAGAGAGAACAGACAGATAGAGAGATGCGTGTGTTGGTGTCCCTCTGCTGTGTGTCTCAGAAGTTGCAGACCATCTGTGCACGAAACGCCGTCAAAAAGCTTTGCGAGAACAAGACGATGCAACAACTGAGGGCGGAATACTACATCAACACCAACAACCCGCTCGCCAACAACAACAACGACGGCGAAGACGGAGCTGTGCCGATGCAGGAATGACTAGCCAGTGACTAGTGAGAGAGGGTAAAGGAAGGCGGGTTAGGTAGAGGAACAAGGGAGAGACTCGTTGAGCAAGTGAGACGGGCGGGGTGTGTATATATGCATGCCGATTGGTGCCTATGCTCTTTTCTGCGTCTGTAAACTGCGTCCCCGATTATACAGAGCAGTCTGATGGCGGTTTTGGGAATTTACGTCATCTCGTGAGTGTGTGTGTATATGCGTAAGACTCTGTGCGTGTTTGTGTGCGAAACTGATGCGTGAGTGATGATGGACGTATGTGGTGGAAATGGGATAGGCTTTAATGGACGAAACAAACAGATTGGAAGAGACGAAAAACGAGTTCGCACGCACAGAATGCACGCAACACGTCATATCACTTAAAGGGGTTGATCGGATGGTTCGAAACCCTTCGGTTCAGGGTAGGGTTTCTTAGGTTCCGCTGTGAGCCGCGCACCGTCCAGGCCTCCAACCTCGTGACACACATATTTGTGCGTTGCTTGTGTGCTGTGTGTTGTGTGTGCAGAAACGCATGAGACCGACGAAGTCGAAAGGGCGTGGAAAGAAGGGATAGGGGTGGCAGGGCGCAGGCGGTGCATGCATTGTCTGTGTGTGTCGGTCGATCAGCCGCTTGGAGTTGAATACAATTTGGCTCTATCCATATGCGTGTCCGTATATATAGGTCCAAGAATGCAAGTGTGAAGCAAGTGTGAATCTATTGGTGTGAATCATGCACTGCATGGCCATTCTCGAGTCTGTTTCAATGATAAGGAGTCTGTTTCTGTGAGACAAACAGCTTCCACTACTGTTTCCCATAGTCGTCAAGGAGAAAGATCTCCTCCTGATTCCCCGGTACATACATGTATGGCACCGCCGGTAGAGACGCAACATCATCGAAGCAACACATCCCGCTCCCCGCTGCAAGCGACACATCTCCCAGAGGGCATTGGCCCTCTGTTGGAGTGGAAGCTGTTTGTTCTATGTGACGTTTCTTGTCAGCCAACTTGCTATGCCGAGTGGTCGGCGAACATGTGTGTATAGTAGAGTCTGTATTTTTTGGTTGACGCGTGCTTATTCTGTTGTCTTCTCTGCATCATTTCCCACTACTGGACAGACTCAAGCTTACCCGACACTGACTCCATATCCCATTCCTACGATTACGGACGCGCGCATTAGTCATGTACGGAGGGCCGCCAGAACACTGAGCGGCACCGCTGGTGCGTTCCGTCTGAAGGTCAAGGTATTGATGTAGATACTTATAAAGATTGGTGCGGCCATTCGCTTCCTCCTTTTTGAACCCGAATTCCCTCTCTCCGTGCCTGCCTTGTTTGTTGTCTCATAGAAAGCTTCAACTGCATGGCTTTGTCTGAACTATTGGCGATCGGCGCATCTCCTCTCCTTTTTTATCAATCGCCACAGCCTGGAAGTACTGACACTTCTTGGCTCCCTCGATCACATCAACCCAGTGCTCAAACTGCGTCTTCTCGATTTCTACGAGCACGTCTGTCAAGTGGGTTTTGTTTTCATTCTCCCCCATCAAAATTCGCCATTTCTTCACTTCAGTCGCACCGTTCCACGAAAAATGAAGGCGCAGGGTCTTGGTGAGATTGTTTGAGTCTAGCAGAATTGATGGGTCCCAGTCAGGCTCGCCAATCCACTGGCTTTTCACGGAGCGACCGGTAAAATGAAACCGAGTCCACTCCATCTTTGTCAACAGATTGCCGTCCGGGTCCGTCTCGATGTAAAAGGGATTGTTGACTAGCTTTCCCTTCTCCAAACTTACCCCCAGGCAGTAAACACCGTTGCCGTTGTGCATCCGCCTGTAACTGCCTAGTGCGCCAGCCGTGATGCCTATGTGATACTCGTTCACCAACCGGGCCTCCTTTGGACGGCCATGACGATTGAAAAGCAAATCATACTCAGCACCTCGTGATCGATCCATCTCATCGTGTGATGTGTAGTCATTTGACTTGATGTATATGTGCTGGTTGTCAAACACGCTGATTCGGTTTTCCCCCAGGTCTCTCACGTCGTGTTGCCCCAAAAACTGACCCTTTGGGTCGTTGACAATCCTCAAAGAAAACACAGCAAGCACTGTTTCGAACCGAGTCACCTCAATTCATACCTGAAGTTGCCCGCCTTCCCGCCAAGACGCCACATGACTTCGCCAGTATCCCTACACACCGACACACACCACTCAGTGTTTGGAAATGAAATGACCACTGTGCTTTCGAACCTGTCCACCTTCACAATTTGTGAGGTCCGTCTCATTCTGAGAAAGAACGGAAAACCATTTTGCTCATCCTCAAATCCAGCAAGACAAAAGTCTCACGAAAGCAGGATGTTCCCATCGCGAGCTTCCTCCAGCGCATTAAGATGAAACATGTCAAACACTTTTTCCTTCGGTAGAAACCAGCTCTCCCAAAGGCTTCGCGGTAGATGATCCCAAGATCGCCATTCAAGTATCACCTCACCTGACCGCATTCGGGTACGGCAAAGCTAAGGTTTCATCCCTCTTCCTTGTGCACGATGATCCTACCTGTCGATCCCACTTCTTGGACGACTGCGCCGACGGCTGATACCACGCAAGACAGGAACGAGGCACAAATGCACACGAGAAAACAAGAGTTTGTACATCCATCAGTGTTCGTCACTCACCAGCCTTGGGAAGGGTTGCTTCTGGATTGAACTTCTCTACGTCTAACAGCTGTACATCGTAGCTGGACACGGGAGAACACATGTAAATATGAAAGAATTGGCAGATTTGTCATACATGATCAGCAAGGCATTTCCGTTTCGCGTCAGCCGACAGTCGTGGGGATCTTTTTCTGTTGGCAGAGCAAAGCAACTTGTTGCGTTCTTTTTATTACTGAGGATATATCGCTTACTGCCTCCGTGCTGGACATGGAAAACACGACGCTGCTTGTAATCCTCGCCGAAGCTTGTACATGTGTAAGACGACATCAGTTGGCCGTCTGGTGTGACCTCAACTCTGAACAGGCCTGACGTTCTGTCGAAGAACACTGGGTCTTGG